CCTGAGGGAGTCAAAATCCTAACTAACATTAAATGGAGTTTTTAGTCTTGAAACAACTGCAGGTTAGAGCTTTATTGCAACAGGCAAATTATATGATTGTTTAGCTGCTCACTAGCATTCTTGCCTCCATGTGCAGAAGTGTGGTGGGGTGAAAGATGGGTGTGGTTTTAAATAGCATAGGTTTTATGGGGAGTACCCAATGCTGATATGTGATGGAGTAACTTCCGATGTACTTCTGATGGTGCCAAGTGCTGGGCTGACAGGATGGTATCCTGAGTGCTTGTGACAGCTCTCAGCCAGAGGCTGCTGCTGGCTTCAGGGGGCCCCACTGCAGCCACCTTGTTGTCACCCTGCTGGACCTTGCAGCTCATGTCCCAGCTCTCAGGAGGTTCACAGTATTCCCTGGCATGCATAAGCAGAGTAGGAATGCCAGCCTGTTGGTATCGTGAGTCTCTCAAAACCCACTGTATGGCTGTCTGATTTATTCAAAAGCCAGTTTATCACATACTGAGAATAAAGTGAGTCCTGTGTATACAACTGAGGTAAAGATCAATGGCTGATTACAGTTCTCAGCATTAAAAAAATGAGGTAGTGGTGAAAGTCAGCAGCTTCTGTCAACCTAGCTCCATTAGCTAACATTAGCTCAATTTGAGGCTGTCGGGGTGGGCTCCTCCCCAGTGAGAAGGATCCAGTGCTGGGAGCCAAGGACATTTAAATATGCTAGTATTAGCTAAGGATCCTCTACAGCGCAAGATCACTATCTTTCTTTTCCCTACCCTTTATAAAACACAGACACAATAGTGGAGCCATGTCTATTTGCCTTTGATGCCTACTTCAAAATTCAAACTCCCAGTGTGCTCATCTCCCAGGCAATTTGCTTTAATGTACTATATAGGGAAGAAACTTTCCCCTGAGTTTGCAATATTATATAAATCAGATGTTTTATAAATATCAACTTACAAATGCGTGTGTACGTTTAATTTAAATTCTGTGGTAATTCTGCTGATGTTATGGCTTCTGAGAACAGCACTTGATGTGTCCATATTAAAGGAGGTAAGTTCAAGCATGACAATGAGGTTAAATATATGGCAATCGTCTTGAAGTGCTGCAGTACTTAAGTGCAGTACACTTAAGACTATCACAATATTATATGTAGCTTGCAGAATATATTTTAAGAGCTAGTTATTAAACACATTTCTTTATAGCCCAGGTTATAATTAATCTCTGGCATTTCATAGAAACCATAATAAATGCTGACACTAGGAGACACACTGCCTGTGCTGTGATCCAGCTTGACAACACCTGGTTTTACGGTTTCTGTTCTCAGTGTCTTAGCCAGAAGCAAGTGCGGTGTATTGATGTGCAGCATGTTTTACTGCAAGGGGGTTTGGAGATGAGAAAATCTGTGATTATATATTTATTTATGCATGAAGCACAACCCTAAGCTTTTTACTAACATAGGTAATATTTTGGTAAGAAATTTCTTGTAATTAGTTCTTAAGAATTCTCCATTTTCTATATGCTTGCTGTGTATCTAATCTTTGGTTTTAAATATTCAGTCTTAGCATGTAGACTCAAGCAAAATGTCTCACACTGTTGATAAGTACTCTCCATGTCTAAGTATAAAGCTTTGCAGACAGATGGGAGCAGCACAGTTTTGGGAAAAAATAATTTCTGTGTGTCAAATGCATAGTAACATTTTTGGCTATTTCCATATGAGTATTAAAAAAGTTTTGTGAACAAAAACTTCTATGGAGACTGAGAATCCAAAGTTTTGGCTCTGGGCATCTTACAGTCTGATTGCTTGCACAGGGTGGAATATGGAGGTGATCGAGATGCAGATGAACCTAGTGAAAAACTGTGTATATTGGTTGGGGAAGATGTTGGGGAGACTGGCTGTGAACTCTTGAAAGAGCTAGATTCTCTGTAATGTTTTGTTCTGCACAGGAGAAAGTTTACTGCATAGCTGTTGACACACAGAGCATCATGTGCATTTAAGTAAAGCATCCCCTGCTATCACCTGATCGTTTTCCCCTGAATACAGGCGTCTGTCTCCTCAAGACAAAATGATTAAAAAAAAAAAATCAAATAAAATAACATGCAAAATCTTTGCCATAAACCAGGAAGGGTTTCTACAGGACACACAAAGCTTAGCTGACATTCACAAATAGTACTGAAAAGCCGCCCTTAAAAACAGCTAGTATGACAACGATGGCCACATTTTTCAAGTAGTGAGTCTGTTTTCTCCCCAGAAATGAAAGCTTTCTGTTAATGCTCTCTCTTCTATATGTCATAATTTCTCATCTGTCCTCTCCTAATATGACTGGAAGCTATCCGTGTGGCTATAACTAGAGCCATAGATTTCCAGTATTAAAAGTGGTTTTGCTTAAGTTCTTGTTTAGCATACCTTTGTAAAATAAGTAAGGGGAATAAAGTTGTGTTTCAAATTTGTTACAATTTCTGCTATTCAGTGAAACTTTCTCTCGTGGGCTGTTTTTACCTATGTGTGGACATAAAGGATTTATTTTTTCTTAAATTACCTAGTTTGAGTTACTGTGCCACTGCTTTCAGACTTTGGGATTATAGACTGGTGCAGAGGATAGCCAATGGCCCTAGACTGATGTTAGGAAGACTGAGCACAATAGTTGAATGTCTGATATAGTACAGTGGCTTTTCTGCAACTTTAGACAAAAACAAATTAAAAGCAATTCAGTTATTCAGTTGTAAATAACTGCTCGCTTCCTGATATGTGGGGTTTTTTTTTTGAAGGTGGATGAATAGTGTCTGTCTGCTACATAATCAATAGAGTTAAAATCCCTGGCCACTTATTTCCTGTGAAGTGATTAAAATCCACTTAGTACATAGATTAGGCTGGCCATACCGCTCCTTTGCAGCAATATGTCAAGGTAATTATTAGACGGTTTATGAAGTGCTGAAATGTAAATGGTCAGCATAAATCTTCATAGAGTGTATTTTAATAGTTTTATTCCATTCGGAGAACAAATGGAGTCAAGCTTTGGCTGGCCTTCTCATACTTTTCTCCAAACTTACATAGCCGTATAGCTCTTTCATCTTTCAAGGGCAGCTTTTCTTAATAGTAAGAGATGCTGCTGAAAGGATACAGCTGCGGATGGTTCTTCTCTGATTGGTGATGTGTAAGGGGCACAAAATATTTGGTGTTGTAACTTCTGAACAGCCATTCTGCACATAAAGGGAACAAAAACTCTGCTGTTTTCTCGACCTTCTCTAATAAATCTTCACATACAGGAAATGTTTAATTTTTGAAATCTTATTAGATTTCAAATACTAGACTTAGCCCAAGGTCTAGTATTAAGTCAAAATTCAGTCCTTGCTATTTCTTTCTCACTATTTGGTTTATTTTCCTATGAAATCAAATATGCAGTTTGAAGCCAACAACTTCTAAGCCACATTGTCTCTGGAAGAAGCATAACTACAGTTTCAAGACACAGGACTGTTGATGCCATGATAGGTCATCATCTCTAAATCCTACTCCCAAAATGAGGGAGGATTTATCAAACAGTTGATAAATTTTATTAAATCAACAGGTAGAGTTGGAAAGTACCCAAGCATGAAAAATCTTTTATTGGAGCTTCAAAGCTGGTAGGGTTTTTCTACTACATTACTACTTAGTACTTCCCCCTAGACATGTTGTCTTGCTGAAGTCAGTTATGTTGGTTTTCACTTTACGTGTTTGTTTTCCTGTGATTACATATTATTTTCTTTGATGGTTTAACCAGTATTTGAAGGAAGTTACAAGAGATTTGTAATTAAGACAGTGGACTGAAAGCCAGCTTGAGTTCTGTGGTATCTGGCTTGATTGTGAGTTAGGGTGTTATAAGCATGGCTGATGCATTTGTGTTGGTATTTTCTTGCTGGCTAAAGTGGGTGCAAGTATATTTGCCTATTTTTTCTATTTTCAGAATGTGTACTTCAAAACAAGCTGTGTTATAACGTGTTTTTAGACATTTGGGTATTTTTTTGGCAGCGTATTCCTGATTGCTGTTTCTTATTGTCATGTTCTCTGTCTTTGAAATAAAAAAAAAAAAAAGAAATGCTGATACAATTACACATCTTTTTCCTTAGGTAAGCTTATTCTTTGTTGCAAGCCACACCAGGGTGCTGTCTGTTTAGATCTGAACATAATTTAGAAACATCCTAAGCAAGTGCTGATAGTCCCCAGTCAACTTCCGAAGACAACACAGTGTTTTTAAAAGAGTTTGGAAAGCACGAAAAATAATAAATTGAAGATACTGTTGATTTCAGAATGAACAAATGACTGTAACTTAATAGACTCCTCCCATTTTGCTAGTTTGTGTTGACATAACTATTTGTTTATTCTTCTGTCTTCAGATTTTCATGTAGACATCTGTCCTCTTCATATGGGAAAAAAGAAACATTCTTGTATGTGTTACATGAAGTGTTCTGTGTTCAAGAATATTAGCGGCATGGCAGACAAAGCTCAGTGTTCTTTAAAATCTGCTCAGAAAATAGCCTGGAATACCTATAGTGATCTGTTGTTTGTGTTGTTCTGTTGCTGGCAAAACAGTTATTTGGTGATGATACACTTATTTTAAAATCAATGTGCAAAGCATCAATTCCTAAAAATCCATTTAGAGCTCTAACTTTGCAGAATATATTACTTTGCCAATAAAGTTGGCTAACTCAGGAAACAATGTATATATTCTGTGGGGTTTGCCGATATTGTATGATAAGCAAAGATATGGTTTAGCAGTTTACTAAACCTGAACAGCCACTGGCCCTTTTTGTCCTAGAGAGAAGACTCCTGGGGCTCAAATAAACCATGAATGCTTTTACTGCCTTTCTCACTAGATGAGAGGATACATTGGTTCTCCAGACTTGTACCCTAATGAATTAGGCTCACAGCTATATAAGCTTTAAGCGGACTGTTTACAAATTTTTATGAATTTTTTTGAAAGCATACCTCTTGGTCTGAAATAGTTTTATTATTTGCTTTTTAGTTCAATTTTGTTGGGAAATTGCTTGGACCAAGAGGGAACTCCTTGAAGAGGTTACAAGAAGAAACAGGAGCAAAAATGTCCATCCTCGGGAAAGGATCCATGCGGGATAAAGCTAAGGTACTGTGTCTTGATTCTGATTGCAATTAGTGTCAAAATACTTGCGCTTTAGCTGTTACATTTAGATTGTCTATATACTTATTAATGACTTCAATTAATATACCTAATTAATAGACTGACTACAAGGCTAGTTTGTTTTTTTCAAGTTGCATCAGTTGTTTAAATATTGCTGCACAATACTTGCTTCCCATATAATTGTAGACCTCCACAGTTACTGTGTTACCAGTCTTACTTAAATAACTTGCCTAAAATAGGAACCAGCTTAAAGTTAATTTGTTCTGAGAGAAGTCTGTTTCTCCTGGGAAAGTATAGCTCGTATACATTACTGCTGTGGGACTTTAAAAAAAAAAAAAGATGGAGTATTTATTCAGGGCATAATTCTAAAAAAAAAATATAACAAGGTGAATGTTCTGCTTAAATGTGTGTAAAAATACACTAGAGATAAAAGAAAAAAAAAGTGTTTAAGTTTTCTTTAAGTTAATCTAAGGTGTTTGTAAGTAAGGCAGCCTCACATGTATCTGACCCAGTGAACAAGTAGTGATTGGATTGCAGTGTCTTACTTTACAGTCTGTAGAAGAGCAGTGTTACAGCTAACAGAAATAATGACTGCTAATTTCACTGGACTGTATATTGTCTTCAGTAATGTACCTTACTCAGCTTCCCTTTCTGTCACCTCTGTCGTTCATCTCAATAGCTAAAATAATGAAAGCAATAATATGCCAGAATAAAGGGAAGACTAATCAGGATTTTATGATTGGTATTATTTGGTCTTGCTGGTGCATATAAGCAGTCACACATGCATTATGAGGTCTCCAAGCATAACACTGAAAAAAAAGCAACACCCCACAAACCGGATAAATTAGGCACATGGAATGTATTCCATTTTTTCAGAGCTTTCTTTATGACATTGGGCATACTGACACCTGAGTTATCTGTTTAACACTATATTTTATGATAATATTTAATACAGTGCAGATTTTATTTTTAGGTATTGACAAGTAAAATATTTTATGACTTTTGGCTTATTCCTGGAATGATAAAAAAATGACTCCCTGGATGACTGAATGCATGTGCTGCTACGTAGATGTAATTTGCATCAGTACTGCATCTGCCAGCTCCATTCTCAGCCACCCACTCAGATTATTACTGCCAAGAGTAGCAGTTGCTCAGACAGGGGAGTGCGAAGGGCTTGTTACCAGCTGATGATGTTTAAATGCACATAAGTAATAGACTTAAGTCCTCTGATTTTGAGATCCATCACTTTTCTTATCATATGATTAGAATTTTATCTGATCATAATGAACAGTGCCAGCATGCCAGTTATTACATTCACCGTGAGCATGGTATTTTTTCTCCTGTTCGTATTTAGTCCTTATGCATAATCTCAAATTAAGTATGAGCTTCTTGGAAACTCATGGGAATCATGTAAAAAATTAAGTTCTAGGGTAAAATAGCATTAATGCAGCAGTGATGAAAGCAACTTCTGTAGAGGAGGCCTCATAAGTGACTGTTATCTTAATCCAATTTAGACATTACTGGCTGAAAGGAAAACAAAATCCCTGTATAATTACAGTGCTAGATAGAAATTATCTGATCTGTGTGCATCACTGTTACGAGTTCCAAGGAAAAGGGGCTGAGAGTGACCATGGGATGGGTTATAGTTACAATTAGCATTTCAGAGAGGATATTCTAGGTTGCACTACCGGTAAAACTTAAAAGATATTTGAATGTGAGCATAAATAATAGCACGAATTGCTACATTGCTAAGAAAAATATAACTTGCTCTGGCTAGAACAGTTTTCTTACCATAAACCAAGCCTAAAAATCCAATTTATGCAGTGATTTTTTTTTACGGTTTTAAATTTAAATTCAAATTACTAAGTCTGGAGGCTTGAGGTTGTTTCCTATGGTGCAAGAAATCAGCTTATATATATTGGCGGATGAGTCTTCCTTCTGGAGGAATTTTCAAGATACATCTGTGTAATTTTTTTCTGTAAGCTAGAGTTTCCTTAAAGCTATCTATATTATACCATGAACCATTATAGTCCGTAGGCAGACTGCAGGCATGTGTGGTTTTCCACAGCAGTCCAGCACAGCTAGGTGCTGAGCTGTATCAGAACAGTAGAAACAAAATTTCTGCTGGAAAATCCTAAATACATTTGTGCCCTAAATCTGTAAATACTTAATGTTTGAAAAGAAGCGATCCACTGATTTGGAGGTTTTTAGTGCCAGAATAACAGTAGGCAAATGCTTGGCTCTACAGTGAGCCACTCTGGCCATATTCTGTAATTCTGGGAAGATGGAGGGACAGTTTCCAGTTCTGGGAAGCAGACCCTGGTCAAGGGAGGTGTCCTGGGTTCAGCAGTAGCAGTCATGTTTTTTTTTTCCTTTGTGCTAGCTGGTGCAGTGCTGTGTTTTGACTTCCAGCCTGAGAACAGTGTTGGTGAAGCCGATGTTTTCAGTTGTTGCTAAGTGATGTTTACCCTGACCAAGGACTTTGTGAGGCTCATGCTCTGCCAGGGAGGAGGGGAAGCCGGGAGGAAGCAGAGACGGGGCGCCTGACCCGGGCTAGCCAGGGAGGTATTCCATACCACAGCACGTCATGGCCGGGGTGGGGTGTGACTGGGAGTTACACGGAAGGACACGGGCTTCCGGGTGGAACTCGTCTTCTTGGCCGGTGGTATCGTATTCTCTTCCCTTGTTATTTTCCCTTATCATTGTTTTAGCTGATAGTAGCGGTGGTGATTTGTGTACATTGGTTGCTGGACTGCTCTTGACTCAACCCGTGGGAGTTGCAGTGCACTTTTTTTTTTCGATCCTCCTCCCCGTTCCTCTGGGAGTGGGGGAGAACCCCGGGGGGGGGGGGGGGACGGGGACGGGGACACGGACCTCGATTGTTGTCAGCTCAGCACCACTCACTGGGAGTGAGTGAATGAGTTGCCTGACTGGGTTTAAACCACGACAGTTCCTTTTTGGCGCCCAACGTGGGGCTCGAGGGGTTGAGATAAGAACAGATCTGACTGGATTGATAGTCACTCGTCACAATGCTGATTTATTGGCTCTCAAGGTTGTTCCTCTTGATCTCACAGTTTCAGTATATAGTATCTTACGTCCATCCGGTATTTGCTGTATTAGTGTTTTTCAAGTGTGGGCCTTGGGCTAAGGTTTTTGTCCCATTGTACTTTATGGTAATGACTTGTAATACAATAGAATCATTGATCATGAAACTGATCTGGCTTATGTTCCCGGTGTGGCTTATGTTCACCACCTTTATACTTTGGGAGGTATATGATGGAGGTGCTTAGCAATTACACATCATTTTCTCCTTCTCAGGTGCTCAACCTGTGAAGGAGACATCCTTTTACCCTCCCAGTCGTCCCCCCAGACCATTTACATTTGAGAGTTTTGAATTTTTTGAATGGCCTTTTAATGCTGTTGAGACTTGTTTGCTGATGGTGATGGGAATCACCATGCTAGCACACATACAGAGTGTGTTTTGCCCGCTACTGATTTCAGGAGTTAAGCAGAGTCAGGTTTGGGTCTTGTCTGGGGTCAAACGACGATGTAGGAGGACCGAGAGATTTTCCCTGAGGCTGGACAGCCATGAGTGGCAGGGTGTGTGGGATAGTATGGGCAAGTATCTAGGTCAGTGGGCCCCTCCAGTACTTTGGAATTTCACTACCGAACAACTGCAAAATCCAGAAGAATTAGTAAAACACTTAAATGAGGTGTGTGGTCATTCTGGCCATACCAGAGATGGACAAATCACGGCAACGTGCTGGGGCTTGGCCTATGCTTACAGGGCCTTGCTGAACACTATCCAGCACCTTCAAAAGGAAAAGAATGTCGACGGATCTGAGGGCAAAGCAACAGTCGCTACTCAAACTTTGGCTGCAATGAACTGCGCAGCTACCCCAGTGGCAAGTACAGCAGCTGCTCAAACTTCAACTGCAACAGACAGCGCGGTTACCCCAGCTCCAAGCACAGCAGCTGCACCAACCCCAGCGACAAGTACAGTCATTACTCAAACTTTGGCCTCAATGAACAGAGCAGCTACCCCAGTGGCAAGTACAGCAGCTGCTCAAACTTCAACTGCAACAGACAGCGCAGTTACCCCAGCTCCAAGCACAGCAGCTACACCACCCCCAGCAACAAGTACTCAAACCACAGTGATAATCACTGCAGCCAAACCAGAGGACCAATTCGTACCAATATCGGTTGCCCCTGTACGCAAGAGAACAAGCAAAAAGGAGGCAAAAAGGGTGAAGCGAGATGAAGAACCAATGAATTCACCACCCGGTCCAGAATCTGATCAGGAGTCATCATCACATGACGAAGAAGAAGAAGAAGAGGTAACTTCTCGACCTTGGACCTCAACCGAGCTGAGGAATATGCGAAAAGATTTTACCCGTCAACCAGGGGAGCACATCATCACCTGGTTACTCCGATGCTGGGACAATGGGGCCGATGGTCACGAACTAGAAGGTACAGAAGCCAAGCAGCTGGGATCACTTGCTAGAGAAGGGGGAATTGACAAAGCAATTGCAAGAGAGAAAAAGTCCCTCAGCCTTTGGAGGAGGCTCTTGGCAGCTGTGAAGGAAAAGTTTCCGTACAAGGATGATGTTACGAGTCGTTCGGCCAAGTGGACTACTATAGACAAAGGCATCCAGTCTCTGAGGGAATCAGCCATCGTAGAGATGCTCTGTCACATCAAGCCGAATAATGGGGATACACCTATAGATCCAGATGAAGTTGAATGTACACGACCCATGTGGCGAAAACTTACACGGAATGCACCGTCATCATATGCCCATTCATTGGCAACAGTGACCTGGAATGACATAGTACCACTAACAGTGGATGAAATGGTTCATAAACTCCGAGAGTTCGAAGACAATCTCACCCCTTCCATCATCTCAGCTGTGAAAAAACTGTCCCAGGACCTCAAACAATTGAGGGACGATCTATCTGATTTATCCAGCTCCTCACGTGTACCAACA